TTTATAAGAGATTGTTACTCTTCTTCCATAGCCTTCTCCCACTTGATTGCATCTTCACACTTCATACTATTACATAAAGATAATGGATCAGCAAAAAGAGCAACGTTTGCATATTCTTTACTTTGAAGAAGGATGTGATCCTTCCACCATTCGCCACGTTGCCTTCTTTCTCTCAAAAGATATCTCCTTTCGCTTGTAAAAGAACATTCGCCTTCTTGCACTCCTTGTTCTTTTCCAACTCTTAAACCTTGTTGTTTTTCACTCAATGGTTGGTACTCTTTATCATTATCATCATTCCAATATTCATTGTTGCAATCTTCATCTTCATTTCTTTCATTGCTAGTCCTAGCAATTGTAAGAGCCTTCATCTTTTCAATCATCTTTGGCTTTTCATCTTCATCATCTTCATTGTCTTCATCTTCTTGTTTCTTTGCTGAATTCAAAGATGTGTCCATAAACACACCATTACTTCCACTTGGACACATCTCCAAGTGCTCACAAGCACTCTTGTGCCCCAAAAACTCAACATCATGACTTTTGATGATCTTCTTGGTTTCCAAGCACATTAGCCTATATGCCTTAATACCTTCACAATAATGAAGAAACACACACTTTGTACCTTTTGCATCAAGTTTGGACCTCATACAATCTAGTGTTTTTGCATATGCAATGCAACCAAAGGTCCTCATATGGGAAATGCAAGGTTGTCTCCCACTCCAAGTTTCTTTTGGTGTCATTGATGCAAGAGTACTTGTTGGACATCTATTTCTTATATATACTGCATTCACCACAGCTTCCACCCAAAACTCATAGCCAAGGTTTTGAGCATGAAGCATGCTCCTTGCCATCTCTACAATGGTTCGATTTGTCCTTTCAGCAATACCATTTTGTTGTGGAGTGTATGGACTTATGATTTGTCTAGCAATTCTTTCATTCTTTAAATAAACATCAAATTGCTTAAACATGTACTCACCTCGATTGTCCATACATAGCACCTTGATCTTGCATTCACTTTATTTCTCAACAAGTACTTTAAACTCCTTAAACCTTCCAAAGCATTCACTCTTGGCTTTAAGAATGTAGATCCAAATTTTTCTTGAATAATCATCAATGAAAGTGAGGAAATACCTTGATCCTCCAATACTTGTGTTTTTCATAATTCCACATACTTCTGAATAGACAATCTCCAACAACTTGGTAGTACGTTTGTCTACACTCTTTGGAAATGAGGCCCTTTGTTGTTTTCCTTGTATGCATCCTTCACATGCAAGTTGTTTTACATTATGGCTTGTATTGCCAAGATCTAAGCCGGGTACCATTGTCTTCAGCTCTCTCATGCTCTTCACATTCAAATGGCCAAGGTGACGATGCCATATATTCAACTTGTCTTAGTTTGATGTAAACTCAGCAAATGTGGCTACCTCGACTCCATTCACCTTCTTACAAATGAGGTAGTACAAATTTCCTTCTTTTAAGCCTTTAAAGACCTTGTCTCTACTCAATGTTCTTACAAAACATCCATTCTTGTCAAATTAAACTTTAAAACCTTTTATTACAAGTTTATTCACCGAAAGTAGGTTTTGCTTCATCTTAGGCACATGAAAGACGTTTTTGACTCTGATCCTATTGGTTTGTCCATTCACAACCACCTCCACCATAATAGAGCCAATTTCAATGGCTTCATATGTACCACTATCTGCCAACACCACGTTCGATGCTGGAATAGCCTCATAAGTGTCAAATGAACAGTTATAAGGTGTCATATGCTTGGAACAACCTAAATCTACAATCCATCTTGACATGGCAGCCATAGAGGTCTCATTTGTTGCCGTGAATGCATAATCTTGTCCTCCAAACTCATCTTGTACACTATTTGCATTGTCTTTCTTCATTTTTTTGACTTTGTAGTAATTTCGAGCAAAATGGCCTATTTTGCCACAAGTGAAGCAAGATTTGACATTACTTCCTTAATTTGAATAGTTGTCCTTGCCTTGACGTGAGTAGAGTGCTGAATCTTCACTTTGAGGCTCCTTTTCTTTCTTTTTGGTTACTTCATGGATAAGTCTTGCCGTCACATAATCCATTGTAAGCTCTTTTAGCTTGATGGACTCCAATGCCACAATAAGGTAGTTGTAGGATTCGGGAAGGCTCATTAGCAAGGTCATGACAATATCACTTTCTTTTAAAGGCTTGTCAATAATTGCTAGTTGATTTGCAAGAGCCTTTACCTTATTAACATGAGCCATAAGGTCTTCACCTTCTTCCATCTTATAAGTGAAGAAATTCCTCCTTGTATAGATGATGTTGGATTAGTTTTTGCTCTCATAGATGTTGCAAAGAGTCTTCCGTGCTTCCGCTGGTCCTTTGCAAGAAATAATGTGGGAGAAGTTGGTTTCATCCACATTGGTTGCAATCAATCCAAAAGCCTTCTTTTCACAACGTTTGAACTCCTTTTTTTCCTTCATATCAGCATCTTTTCTTCGAGCCTCTTTACTTTCATCTATAATATCCCAAGATCCAAAGATGCCAACAAAAGCTCCATTTTTACCTTCCAATGGTAGAAATTGTCACTTCTAAACTTCTCAATAATTCTCAATCCTTCACCCTCACTTGAAGCTATGTCTAAGGAAGAGTTGTATCAAAAAAGATTGAAAGAAGAAGTCCTAATGCTCTCAAAAATCAGCAAGAAAATTATGTTGCCATAGAATCTCAGAATCCTTCTTTGTGAATAAACTAGTATTTTTACTCTCAAAATCACTCTCATCTTCACTTCTAAGACTTTTCAGAAGTCTAATGACTTATTTAAGTGTCTCAAATCTGATTTGCCACTCTAATATCTTTCTTATGCTCATAAATCACCTCTATATACCATAAAAGGCCTTTTAAACACAATCAGCAACTTTAGAACATGAAATCATAAAGTTAGATTACCAAGGATCTATCTCAGCAAAAGCACAATGCAAACTTTGTTTATAAGTGAAAAACAAGACACTAACACCAAAATACTCTTAACCACAAGTAAGAGCAAACCATGATTTAGATCTAGATCTGAATCTAAAAGTTAGGTTCTTCCAAAGCCTAATATCAGCAACAACAACTTGATGTACTCCACACTTATAAAACCACTTCAAAGAACTTCAAAAAACACTCAAGCAAATGTGAGTGGACCCATAACCTATTGAAAAAGAGAAGTCTAGAAGCTACAAACACTTAATATCAGCAAAGATTATAGTCTAAGAGAAGTGTGGAGAAAGATAATTCTTACTTCCAACACTCTTTACTTATAGGTGGTGGTTTGCCCACCAACAAGGCAACTTCCATCCATTTGATATTACATCCATTTCTATCTCATCTTATTAAAGCCTCGGTAGTACCACAATAACTTACTTTACCTCTTTATTGCCTTTTTACTATTAACAACATACTATGTTTAAACTTTATGTGGTTGTAACTAAGCAAGTACTTGCTGTTCTTCAACAAAATCCTTCATAACTAAAGTTTTGTTTTAACTTATTCATTTTGATAAAAGCTAATTGTCTTAAATTTTATTATAAAATAGTATTGATCTAAATTTAAAATATCTAAAGATATTTTGGAATAGACTCTTTAATTTGACCAAATCTTCTAAAGAATTATGTTAATTCTAAATTATAACAGTTTGGACCAATAAATGCCTATGATAAAAATTTAAAAAAAAATAAAAATAATAAAAAAAATAAAAATCAAGGAGAAGGTTTACAAGAAAATAACTAAATTTTGGATTAAGTGGTATATATTTTCTTTATCTTTTTTTTTTTTTTTTTAAACTTAAATCTTTTAATTTAGAAATTACTTTAGATGGAATATCTTTTCAATCAACATAAAAACCTTTAAATATAAGTTTAAATCATAATAGTAAATTTTAAAGTATCAAAATCCAATAGAATATTTCAATGGTATATAAAATTCAAAGATTTATGTTTTATTGTATTGTTAGAAAACATTGTTGTATATAAAGGTCTTTATAATAGTTCTTGTTGGTTTATTATAAGACATAAAAATTGCATTATTAAAACAAAACAATGGTCTTAAATATCTATATCTTTTAAATAAATAGAAGCTAATAGAAAGAAATTAGGTAGATAATAGATTCTTTAAAAAATAATCTAAAAACTTTTTAAATACATGTTAGATCTACAAGTATTTTTAGATTTGATATATAACCACAAAAACTCGTTTTTATATTTCTTTAAATTTAGAAAGCCATCATAAAAAATAAAAATAAAAATAAAAAAATCCCATAACTTTGATACTTATTCCACCACTCTTTTGGTGTTTTAAAAGTTTTCACTTGACCTTTTTATTAGCACATACATACATAAAAAAACTATGATCATTCTTCGTAACATTGATATCTTTCTTGTATTCTAATTCTGATTTTCAATTCTCTAATGTAATTATATTTATTAATAGTAATTAATGCATTTTTTATTTTAAATATATAGAGATATATTTGATATTCTTTTCATTTTCTTTACTTAGTTGTATATGAATATGTTTTCTTTTGACAACTCTATGTAAATTTGTGTCCTCAAAAACTACTATATGTATAATATATTAAATTAGAATCTTTATTAAATTATTACAAAAACATAGCTAAAAGTACAACTATACCCTTTTCTTTTTGGGTACTGTTTATACGTTAGAGACTTTCATTCTAACACGTGTACACACAGAGTTAAGATTCGTGCAAAAAGTGCGAGTTGGTGAAGCCTGAACCAGCATGATTCAGTGTGAGCTCAAGTTGCCACAACACAAGGAGATGCTAAAGTGGCCACATCCAACAAAAAGGTGCCCCAACTCCAATCCCAATTAAGATAGGGAGCAGCCACAATTCAGTGTGAGCTCAACAAACACATTTTATTGCACAACACTCTCATTCCCTCCCTCAGGACAAGCCAGGTTGAGAGAGACAGAGAGATACACACACAAGCACAAGACAGTAATAGAAGAGAGGGGAATGAAAAAGTGTTGGCAACGAACACATTGCGGAATCGAATATTTATTTGCCACCAATGGCTCCTGATGAAAAGAAAAATGGAGTACTCAATCTTCTGCTCAATTCAGAAGAACCTTGTTGTAAGCTATACATGTGCGGAGAGAGATAGGGAGAGAGGCACACTAGGGAGCTACACATTGACAAAGGGGCTGTATCTACTACTGTGCGATACTGGCACTGATACTGGTACTGCTTCTAGTTCTGGTTCTGGTAGAGGCAATCTAGACACTGCTGCCTGGCTCCGTAAGTACAATCTCGGAATCAGGAGATGTGATGATCCTGAGCTCGGTGGTGGCGGCGGCGGCGGTGGAGACGAAAGAATTGGGTGGTTCAGTTTCAAGTTGCAGAGATGGGTCAGGTTAGTCCACATTGCGCTTGAGCTTAAGCGATGGGTTTGCAGACCACGGTGGAGTGCGTGGCGATGTGCAGGCTGAACTGGCCTCCCTTCTCGCTCACGTCCACCTTCTTCGTTCCGGGCGGTGGGAGGAGCTCCAAGGATTGCACCAACCGGCCCAGGACGATGGACAGGAGCGGCATGGCGATGATGATGCCGGGGCATGACCTTCGCCCGGAGCCGAAGGGCAGGAACCGGAAGTCGTCGCCCTTGGCCTCGATCTTGCCGTCCAGGAAGCGCTCTGGTATGAATTTCTCGGGTTGATCCCAGTGGTTGGGGTTGTTGGCGATCCACCACGCGTTCACGAGGATCTTGCTCTCGGCGGGGATGTCGTAGCCGGCGAGCTTAGCCTGGTGGAGGTTCATGTGGGGCACCAACAAGGGGATGGCCATGTGCAGGCGCATCACCTCTTTCACGAAGGCCGACAAGTAGGGGAGCTTGTTGTTGTAGGTGTCGGGCTCAGTGATGAGGTTGCCCTTGCCTAGAGTGCTGTCGAGCTCTTCACGTATGCGGGTCTGCATCTCCGGGTTGTTCACGAGCTCTGCAACTCCCCATTCGATGGACCAGAGAGTCGTCTCAATGGCCGCGACGTTAATGTTCTCGACGATGTACAGGACGTTTTCTTCGTTGATTTCGCCCCTCTTCTGCGCTTCCAGAATTAGGTCGATGGCAGCCTTCTCCCCGTCGGGCCTGGGTCCCAAGGTTGACAACAATTTCTTGCGCTCATCCAAAAAGTGCTCCTTGAAGAGCGCCAGGCGCCGGTCCTTGATCTCCTGACACACCTTCAAGTACCCGCGTAGCAATGGCCGCAACACGGGGATGAAGTCACCATAGTTGTACTCGAAACTCTGCGCCAACCGCGACCGCTCGCCATTAAGCGCCTTGAGCTTCAGGAACAGGGGATCCTCCTCGCTCTCGAACCGGGAATCGAACATCAAGCGGTACATGATGTTGTACATCATAAGCTGGAGCCGCTTCCGGATCACGACCCCCGTGGTGGACGCCTCGGGCTTGGCTTTGAGATCCTGGATAACGCGCAGGGCTTCATCTTCCCATGCACCGCGGGACTGCTGTACCACCTTGTTAGTGAAGAAGGGGACAGTCATAATCCTGCGCATCCGGCGCCAATGGTCGCCATAGACGGTGAATACCATGTCTTGGCCATTTCCTGTGAAGATGTCGAACACGACGTTGCGTGTTCGCGAGCCGAATTCCACACTCTGCGTGTGCAGGACCTCCTTGGCTACCTCAGGGGAGGACACCACGACCAGATTGCGCTGCCCCATCTTGAGTAAAAACACATCGCCATACTTCTGAGACATCTCAGCCAAGTTTCTATGGTTCAAGTCATCTCCGACCTGGAAAAACCAAACCATCACTTTGTCAGCGCCTCGGACTCACCAATTCGCATGCTGGTGAAGCATTTCAGCTTTGACGAAACGCACAGTACCATCGGTGCATTTTAAAAGCATTACCTTGAGTTTATTCTGATTGTTCCTTCTGATAAGTGCATTTTAAATCTACAAGTGCCTTAACCTAGTCCCATCAAATTTGACCGCTGGATGGTTTCTCTCTTCCTCGCTTGCTCTCAAAAGAAACCAGTTGATTGTACACTGAGTAGAGGTGAAAATCTGTTAAGAGTAAGTGACGAGCGTGAATGGCCAAAAAAAGTCACAAACCTGCAACCAGTTTCCGACAATGGGAAGGGCAACAGGGCCAGGGGGAAGATTGAGCTTGGGCGCGCGCAGCTTCGCGATGAGCAATCCCAAAAGAACCGCCACGAGCAGTGCCTGCACTGCGCCCTCCAGGTTCATGAACTGCTTCACGAAACTCGACACCGCTGCATTATCAACCACATCCTCACTAATAGCCAACACTCGGGCCACTCCAGCTCCAGCCAGCCCCAGCGCCATGGCCTCCTTCCATCCTGCTCCCATTGTAAACCCTGGCTTCGTGTCCCACCTCACTAGAAACGAAACTCAAACCAACTGCACCGTTTCCGAAGCTAAAAGAACTCTCGATGTAGCTCTCTCACGCTAACTCCCCCTCTCGCTCTCTCTCTCGCGCGCGTCTAGCCTAGCCACAAACAGCCCAACTTCACAGCGACTCTAGCAATTGCTACAATAGTTAATCGTTCGCCTTGCTATGAAGCAAAAGGGTGCAATCTGGGTGGTGGTTAGTGCTGGTTGCTGCAGGTACAGAGAGTGTGATGACAGAGTGGGTGGCAGACGGTGCAGTTATAAAGACACTGGGAGTGAGCGAGGACTGTGATACAATCAACAATTTGAGGGTAAGGGGAAAGACTTTGGACAAGCTCAGGGCAGACTTCCTCGGAAAACTGTTGAAGGTGAAATAAGCCGCTTCCCGGCGTTGAACTTTGTCAGAAGCGGCGTTGGTGGTGGAAAAAGCCGCTTCCAAGCGTTGAAATTTGCCAGAAGCATTGTAGGCCTTCCCTCGGTGGGTCCCTTTGCCAGACCGACACTTACTATTCTCCCTCTGCCTCCGGGTTTTGGTCTCCACAGGGACTCTGCACATTGCAGTTAATTGTTGAAAGCTTTATGTTGAAATCATCAGTTGTAATCATCAGGACCAAAAAAGAGGAATCAGGGAGGCTTCATCAGCAAGAGTTGTAATTTTTTGTTATTTTAATGTAGCAGATCCATTGTTGACCACCCCCCATTTCTTAAATTTAGGGTGGGGTATTTCTATTAGCTCTGAGGAATATGAACAATTCAATGTACTTGAAATTGATATGCATGAACTGTAAAAAAATCAATTTCTGCATTAGTGGAGTTGCACACATGGGGCTGTTGATTATGCATTAGGGAATCAAGGAGTGATTGGAGCAAGATTGGAAGATGGAGGATGCATGAGATATTGTTTGGAGATGAGCAGATACAAGGAAGAATGGAGGCAAAAAATTCAACTTGAACATAGCAGATTCGTTACAATCAGATGTTTGAATTTTTGTTGCTACATCCACACATTTACATCCATACGTAGCATAGAATTACGTGAAGTTTGATAGCATAATTAGGTGCCACACATCACAATTTTGTAAAAGTTGGATTCTTAGTTTTGTAATCCACCATTAGTCAGAGTTAAGTTGGTCTATATGTTGGAAGTCAAAGGGAATCTTCAACTAAAACATTTATATAAATTCCGTTTTTGAGCCAAATTGTGTAAAAACATTTGGAATCCTCTTGATTTCTATTTCCCTACATGGAGGTATTTTTTTCCATTTCTACATGGAGGTATTTCCCTACATGGAGGTATTTTTTTCCATTTCTTGTATAAACCAACTCGTGAATGCAAAGATTACTGGAGAAATTGCGTCTTACAACAAAGAATGTGATGATCAGGAATTAGTATCCTTAATTATCCACTCTCAATGACTGAATTCTCATTTTTACTCCGTCACAATGCAGACACACCTTCGTGTTTACACAGTCAAGGCTTTTCAAAAAGGGCTCAGACGTGACTGATGGCGTGGAAACATGACATCCTTTCAATGTCAAAAAACATTACCCGAGGACTGTGTGGCCCTCTTTAGCGTACTTTTTTTTGTCGTTGAGAGATAATAAAAAGACATTATAAAAATAGGAAAAAAAAAACAAAAAAAACAAAAAAAAAAGTATTGAATAAGGATACACTCTACACAGAACACTTTTCTACATTAAGTTCTCACTCACTTTTAATTTCTATGAACAATTTTAGGTTAATGAATTTATTTCTCACTAAATGTCAGATTCTGATTAAGTAATCAGTGTAATATTGAACACTGCTTTGTATAAAGAAATAAAAACGAAAAAGAATAAACATACACAAGTAATCTTCAGATTCTTGAATGCCCACACATTCTACTTGAACGTCGTTATCATTGTTACCCATTTCTACTGCTTGTTTTGAGTGAATGAAGTTGATCATTGAGAAGAGATGGAAGTCAATCATGAAAGTTTTCCTGTTTGGTGTGCGCACAAGTGATGTAATGAGAAGGTGGCACTTATGGTGTGATTCCACAGGACCTCATGTCCCAAACCGATCCTCATCCATTCATACTATTCAGTTTTCTTGGGGTTTTCACATACAAATGCAGCTTTCACAACATGACCACCGAGGTGAACAGTGAGTAATACTATCTCGACTCAGCATGGACGAACCCATGGCACAGAAATCCATGCTGGCACCAAGTAAACGCATTACGACTGGTGACTGAGTGCACGTCAAAGATCGGAGACTGGAACCGAGTAAAAGTGGGCCATTGAATCGTTGAAAGAGGAGCAAAGCGTGCTGGTGTTGACGGCGAAAAGCTAGACACGAACCCTCGTTGACGCACTTTGAGTGTTGCCAGTCTTCTCATGTTTATTTTGTAATTTATGACCATGGTCATGATTTCAATTTTTAATATGTAATTAATGATAGATTGTAATAAATCAAATCATAATTTTTTTTCATTCTATTGTAGACTAAATCATAGGCTCTTTAAAGATCAAAATTTGGATAGATTTAGGATTTGCCAACTTCATCAAAAATTTTAAAACTAGTAGTAGCAAATTATAATATACTATTATTCTTATCATTTTAAAAATTAAAAATATTAAAAATATATACTATTATATATATTATAAAAGCTCTAACAAAGGTTTTTCTATTTCAAATAGAATTCTATGGAAAAATGTGACAATTATTAAATTATATTACTTTTCATTAATGGTATACATTAAAGTTGTTACATAATTCATAATCTTTATTATATTTTTTCTTACATTCAACAAAAATAAAATTTCCTTGTGTCTTTATTTTTAATAAAAAAAATGAATTAAAAAAATATTTTTATAAAAAATCTTAGATTAAATATATATTATACATGATCTTAAAGATATTATATTTGTTTTAAAAGATCAAGATAATAAATCTCAATAATAATGATTTTGTATAAAAGTATTTTATCATTTATTTAATGACATAACTTATAACTTCAATTACAAATAAGTGTCATTACACAAAGAAGACAAAGAAATATAAAAATAAATAGATATAAATTTTAAATGTAATTTTTTAATTTTATTTTGAAGATATAAGAATACTTTAGCTCATCAAGAAACAGGTCTCAATAGAAGAATTAACAAGAATAAAGATAACTTTAGTCTCATTTTTATATATATTAATTGCAAAGCCAAAGGTTTGTAGTCTAAGCTTCTAGTATGTTTTTACTTAAGTTGGTAAATAGATAAATCTATTACTCTACAATTAGAAAATTTTTTATAAGCAATAAAAGAAGAAGGCTTAACAAAGATATATTTTTTTTTAAAAAAGATCTTAAACAAAATATCTTTGTTGTAAGCAAAGCCACCATAATATCAAAAAAGATAAATCTCTTACAATTCTTAACAAACTATTTTTTTTTAATTTTATATAAAAAGAATAAAAATAGATATATTAATATAAGGTCATAATATAACAAGACATCAAATATAATAGATTTTAAAATATTCATCTTCTTTGGTGTAATAGCTAAATATGTGTTGATCTTAAAGATTTCTATTAAGGTGATAATTACTTTCAAAGATAATATAATCTAAAAAAAAGATAGAAAACTTATAATTAATCATAATATTTTAATAACTATTTAAATTATATATTGGTCAAAGATACCTCTACCAAATTATTTAATAAAATAGCCTTTATTATAGAATATGATTAAATCAATAATAAAATAAAATAGAATAAAATCATTATTTATTTAATTTATATGGTATTATGTCAAGATTGTAAATAAATAAAGATAATAATTAACAACAATATAAATAACATATGTCTTCTATATATTAAAAAAAAAAAAAACTTTGAAGTCATAATATATAGCATTAGTAAGATTGTATATATAGAATATGGAGCAAGATAACTCTCACTTCTATTATCCATTACTTATAAGTAGTGGCTATTGTCCTAATGAACAATTTCCATCCTTTGATGAATACATCCATCCAACATTCTATGAAGACTGTCGATTAATATCTTATCTACTATAAACATATGCCTTTAGCATATCATATATATCCTTAAGATCCTTTGTTTGTTCATCTACCTTGTCACTTGGCCTTCTTACAAATTGAATCAATCTTTTGACCATTAACAACTTATCTAAGGTAATATTTGATACAAAATAATTTATTCTATTTATATTTTTACTTATTTATTTTAATATTCTTATTTTGCTATTGGTCAATGGCTTTCAATCCTAATTCCTATATCAACATGTAATGTCTATCCTTTACTAATGCCTTTGTTGACAAATCAATAAGTATATCTTCTATTGCACAATACTTCATATCAATCACTTCTATTTCAATCTTTTTTTTAATAAAGAGATGTTGAATGTCAATATACTTGATGCTTGAATGAAGCTTTGAGTTCTTTGCAAATACAAGACATCTTTGATTGTCACACTCTATTAGAATTGCTTCCATTTGTACTATTCCAATATCTTCCAAAAGTTGTCTTAATCATATTAACTCCATTGCATAATGGCTTGCTGCCATATACTTCGATTCCATTATTGATCTTGCCATGATTGATTGTCTCTTGTAATTATATAAAATAACTCCTACTCTAACAAAGAATACATATTCTATTATTAATCTTCTATGATTTATATCTCTAATCCAATCCATATCTTAATAACTATGCAAAGTAATGTTATCATCTTCAAAGCTTAATTTGAAGTGTAAAGTATTTTTTAAGTATTCCATGATCTTATTGATGATTGTCAAATAGATTGGTCCAACCTTTGATATGTATTGGCTCACAATATGGACAACATATGCTAGATCAACATCTTGTGCTATCTATTGTATATATAAGAGAGCCCATTATTGCTTTGTATAGAATATCTTGCATTTGATCTTCAACTTCAGCAAACTCCTCATCTGTGAGCTTCATCAACTTCAAATTGACCTCCAAAGGTATTCCAACAAGCTTATATTCTTCTATGTTGAATTTTTTTAACATCTCTTCAATATATTTCTTTTGATTCATTGTAATAGTCTTCTTAGCACAATCTCTTATAAATTCTACTCCTAAATAATAGTAAAGTTCTCCCATATCACTCATTTTATACTCTTTTTCTAACTTTATCTTCAACCAATCCATCATCTTCAAAGTATTGATTAAGATGATTGAATTATCAACATAGATGATGACAATGAATATGAACTCATTTGATTGCATCATATGAGTTATTAAATCAACTCACTTGTGTGATTAGTACAAAAAATATACTTATTGTGTTTAAAATCATAGATTTTGTGAGTTAGTAGCACGATTTTTAGAAAAAAATGAAATAGATTACTAATAGTAGATATTTAGCCAAGGGTAGAATTTAATAAAACAAATTTTTAAGATGAATA